AAGGTTCGACGTGTTGTGCATTCAGAGATGCTGTTGCGCGTGCCTTGGCTGTATTGAGTGGTCATTTGAGTTACTGTTGCCCTTCTATCAGCTCGAACCAGTCTGGCCTTTCTCCTCTGACCTCTGGCATCAACAGCATTTGTGCCCACAGAACTGCCGCTCACTGGATATTTTCTCTTTTTCAGACCATTCTCTGTAAACCCTAGAGATGGTAGTGCGTGAAAATCCCAGTAGATCAGCAGTTTCTGAAATACTCAGACCAGCCCGTCTGGCACCAACAACCATGCTATGTCCAAAGTCACTTAAATCACCTCTATTCCCCATTCTGATGCTTGGTTTGAACTGCAGCAGATCATCTTGACCATGTCTACATGCCTAAATGCATTGAGTTGCTGCCATGTGATTGGCTGATTAGAAATTTGCGTTAACAAGCAGTTGGACAGGTGTACCTAATAAAGTGGCTGGTGAGTGTACACTGCTGTTCGGGCAACTCCTTGCGGATACATACTGTTCATGTTCATGTTCATCTGTCCATGCCCGTTTGTCAAGCCAAGCCCGTCCACGTTTGTTTTCCACATCAGCCCTGCCCATGTTAATGCCTGTCTCTGTTACCACCAGTGGCGATTGCTCTAGGACTGCAAGGGAAGCTCAGCTTCCCCTAAAATGTCAAAAAATAAGTGATCAAATATATACTGTTGTGTGTACATCTCATTGACTAAATATGCGCTACAACGCACTCAACTTTTGTTCAGAATCAGCTTCTTATCACTGGTAACGACGCGGCTTTCCTCTCACTCATTCCCGCAGCTTCACAGTGCTTTAAACACTGAGTTCAATAGCGAAGCAAAAATGCTGGGCTTTGTCCCGCCCATTGGACACTCAGCGTCTCTAGGGGTCTATGGGGCAGCAGGCTGGCCTCGGCTGGCCCGGACACTCAGCTTCTGCATGCTGATAGGATGATCTGTCTGAGGCATAGTTTCTTTTTCTGATATCACAAAATGTTTGAATTATTTAATGATAAAAAATAAAGTTTCTCAGCAGGGGCTGGCGAGTATCCCTTCCTCCTGACCTCCTAAGGGCTAACTAACCCACTGGGAATGGTAATATGCCCACTCTACCTTGGTACTTCCGTGTTCTGGCTGCTGCGGCAGGGCCTGTAGCTGTGCCTCTCTGGCCTGGAGGTTTCTGCTCCTGTGCTTCATTGATGACCTGCCTCTGTGTGGGACATATGGCTGCCCTGGGATGATGCCCTATGTTTGTCTGCCTTGGGCTGTTGCGACCATCCGGAGCAGAGTCCACCTGTCCTTTGCTGCTCTTGGGTGTTGCAAGTTGCAGGCCTTCAACCGTTTTAGTTACTCTAACAACTGTACGACTCCAGGTGGCAAATTCGCTCACATATTCCTGCTTAACACACACACACACACACACACACACACACACACACACACCCCACATACACTCTTGTTTTGCTATATGTAGTGAGGACCATGTGTTGACTCCCATTGACTTCCATTGATTTTCAGTCATTTTCAACCCTTTCTATGCCCTAACCCTGACAATAACCCTAAACCTAACCATTACCAGGGCATGCCTAACCCTAACCTTAACCTAAACTCAATTCACACCTTGTTCTAAACCTAACCGTTAGCAAAATAGGTTGTGAGGACCAGCAAAATGTCCTCACTTTGGTACAAATGGTCCTCAATTTGATGGTGAAATCGGGAAAATGGTTCTCACTGTGATGCCAAGACAGGACACACACACACACACACACACACACACACACACACACGCGCACACACAGATAATCCAAATGGTTGAAGGTCATACAAATACGGGTTACTATTACATTGTGAGTTTCCTACTTTGATGCTGGATCCAATCTTGATATAATAAAGTTAATCACACAATTAGGATTTCCTCTTGAGATATACTTTTGGTAGAGCAACAGACACCCTAAAAAAATATTTAAAAAACTCAAGCAAGATTAAAACTGCTGATTCTCCCTAGTCTGTAGTTAAAAGCAAATCATTAAAAACTCTAAGAAGTGCTGTTTCTGTGCTGTGACACAATTTAAAACCAGACTGAAATTTTTCGGTTATCCCATGTGGCTGTAGATGCTCCTGAAGTTTGATAGAACGTTAGGATCTAAGTTGCTTTTTGTCATTTTTGTCGGCGCACAGAATATTTTTTTAAAGGTCTTGAGGTTCATCAAGGTATTTATTGGCAAATATGGTCTGCAGCAATATTGGTAAATGCTACTTTAACCAGTCTCTTTCATGTAATGCCATCCATTTAGAACATAATTCCCATAAGGCACAGACCACATGTCCTCCATCTTCAGTTTTTATTTTCATTTTTATTGAGTGGCTACTGCTTTTTTTATTGGCCATATTTTTTCAATTTGGGGTTCCAAGGATATCTGCAGATGAAAGTAAAACAAATATTCACAATTTTTCATCTGCAAAGCATCAGTGGAACACACACATATGTTACAAGATATTAATGATTTATTCCAGAGATGGGTATAACAAACATAAACTGTAGAATCTGCTATTGAGAGCTTGTGGAAGTTTTCATCCAATTATTTTACCCAGACTGTGATGAATTTGAAGCCGAAGAACACATTTGATTCCCAATGTCTGTTTCTCATTATTAAACATGCTGGTCAATCTGTAATGTTTTAGGCAACCATCTGGTGAGAGTCATCAAGTCCACTGTTTGTTCTGGATGATTGCATAGCAACCAGGAAATATGGGCTCATTTTGACTGACCAGATGCACACCAGGGTGCAAATGTTTGTCCATAAATATGGAAAAAGTTAATTAGGGCTAAATCACAAGGTAAGAAGATCGGTGCAAATACAAGTAAACTAACCAATGATTTCTTTTTACAAATCTGTTAATTTTTCTATTGAGATGTCATGGTTTGAGTTTCAGCTCAACTGTTAAGGGGAAAGGAAATTGAATTTCCTAATCAGTTTATTGCACAATAAATCTAATATTTAAACAACAACTTGCACTGTTGGCCCCAGGAAAGTGTCAAGCTGTGTGTCAAATATCAATGAGAGATTCTTCTGTGTTTATGAAGCAAAGAAAAAAAACAGCACCAGCCATAAAATATATTATAACTAACTGCTGAAGCTCCTGTAGATGGGGGAGACAGAGAAGCTCAACTCGAAAAATGTACAAGAAAAGCAAACAGCTCAGAGGCGGAGTGGGAAGTAAGGACTCTTGGGTTTTATCTCACTCCTGCAGGTTAAATACAGAAACCTAATGAGGGGCATCAGTGAACATCACGTTTAACAGAAAAAAAAACAGTTTGATGAGATTCAGGCTTCTCAAAAGGATATTATTCTGCTTAGTTTTACAGTCTTCAGTTTTATACCAGCCATTTTCCCAAAATAACCCGCAATTGATATAACATATACACAAATCCTAGCTTCTTCTTTTAATTATTATTTTTTTCCACCTGTATTAAAAGTTAAATTATTATTATTCTACTATGGTGATCTTCTGGACTTTTGCTGAATTTGTAGCCTTTAGCCATAATAATGCACAGATCCAGGGATGGTGGCTTTTGTGCCTGCTGGCAATTTCTTTATTGTTATTTACCAAAGCTAGCTATTGATGTTCCATAATAGTGGACAAAGTTATAGAATGTGCTATAGTATAGTATTAGCTTTTAATGCTAATGCTTTATAATTAGCTAATCCTTCAACATGATTTACTTCAATCATTGCAATCTTGTCTTATATGTATAGTGGAAAATTATTACACAGATTTGTTTTTCTTTGTAGTTGAAGAAAATAGCCAGTCAGATCACAGCGAAGTTTAAAGCCAACCTCTACAAATTTAAAAGAGGTCCCGAAGATGTAATGGCGGTTAATGACAAAACTATTTTATGAACCTTTAAAACATTGTTGCATTGGACAATCATTTACATAGCAATACTGGAAAAATCCGTTGTAGAATCAAATTTATTAAGCATATCTAGACCAACTAGCTGTCTACTTTCAAGATGGTAAGATGGTAATGGCTCATAGCCTCTCAACAGAATACCACCTCAAACAAAAATGAACAATTTCTTTAATGTTGCACTCAGCAGAACATCCTGATAATAGCTTAGATCCAAAACAAAACGATGCTCCAGATCTTTGTAGGTTGTGGCAGTGTTTAAAAGTGCTTCTCATCCCTGGTCTTCGGGACGGACACACACACACACACACACGTAGTGTTCCCCTATCCTTACAGGGACCTTGCATAACTTAGTCCTAAACCTAGCCATTAACCCACCTAACCCATTTCCCCTTGTGTGGACAAGGCAAAATGTCTACACAATGGTGAATGTCCACGTGATGTTGATGTTCAATCAGGGATTGATCCACACAATGTTATATATACATGCGCACGCAGACACACACACAAATGCACTGCCCTGCGTGGCTTGGCTCTGTCCCCACTACAACAAACCCAATTGAAACAAGACATTTCTCTCATCAACTTATACCCAAGAGCTGTGTAGGCTTGTTAATGATTCAGTAATTGAAAGAAATTCTGCTGTAGCAAAACTCGTACTCGTCGTCTTCTGTTTTATCCGGGACCGGGTCGCAGGGGCAGCAGTCTCAACAGAGACACCCAGACGTCCCTCTCCCTGGACACCTCCTCCAGGGGGAGCCCAAGGCGTCCCAGGCCAGCCGAGATATAGTCCCTTCAATTCAGTCAGTCAGCCATTTTCTACGGCTTATTCCAAAGTGGGTCGCAGGGGAGCTGGTGCCTATCTCCAGCAGTCTATGGGCAAGAGGCGGGGTACACCCTGGACAGGTCGCCAGTCCATCGCAGGGCAACACACAAACAACCATGCACACACTCATTCATACACCTAAGGGCAATTTAGAGTGACCAATTAACCTAACAGGCACTGTGGGAGGAAGCCGGAGTACCCGGTTACAACCAACACCTGCACTGGGAGAACATTCAAACTCCATGCAGAAAGACCCCTGGCCGGGAATCGAACCCAGGACCTTCTTGCTGCAAGGCAACAGTGCTACCAACTGCGCCACAACACACAACACCTTCTTGCTGCAAGGCAACAGTGCTACCAACTGCGCCACAACACATGTTGTCTCAAGGCACTTCACAAACTCAGGTACATACATTCCAATTAATCCTAACCATTGAACAGTGCAGTTAGATTCAGTTATTTATTCAAATTGGATAAAAAGTTTGCTGGGTTTCTAAGGAGACCCAGCAGACTGCATCGAGTCAGAGACTTGTAGCAGTCACTCCTCCTGGATGAGCATGTACAGACAGTGGACAGTCACTGGTGTTGACTTTGCAGCAATCCCTCATACTGAGCCTGCATGTAGCGACAGTGGAGAGGAAAAACATCCCTTTCACAGGAAGAAATCTCCAGCAGAACCAGGCTCAGTGTGAGCGGCCATCTGCAACGACCGACTGGGAATTTGAGAGAACAGAGCAGAGACACAAAAGAGAACACAGAAGAACTGATCTAGGAGTACTTTCTATGGGAAGGAAAAGTAAATGTTAATGGATTTAGCTCCTTTAGTCGTTTCATCTAGAAAGAAAGAACAGATAAACTCTGAGCCAGTTTTCAAGGTTAGAGTCTGAAAGAGAGCACATACAGTTATTCACAGTAGAAGCTCAGTCAGTAGCTATGTCTAGGAGAGAAAGGGTTAAACACTGAAAGAGAGGGCCATGTGGATCATCGGTAGAGGGTGAGCATTAATTTGTTGCCAGCAGAAGCTCGGACGATGCACCTCTCCAGAAAGGTGTCACAGGTAGACACAGAGTCAGGCCGGGTGTAGCTTCTAGGAAGAGAAAAGAGAGAGAACATGAAGACAAAAGCTGAAATAACAGCAAATAATGCAAAATTGGAGAGTAGTGTGAGAATCTAGCAAAGAGGGTGAAAGTGGTCATTATATCCTCCAGCAGCCTAAGCCTATAGCAGCATAACTACAGAGATAGCTCAGGATAACCTAAGCCACTCTAACTATAAGCTTTATCAAAAAGGAATGTTTTAAGCCTAGCCTTAAAAGTAGACAGCGTGTCCTCCAGCGTGTCCCGGGCCGTCTCCTGGGTCTCCTCCCGGTGGGACGTGCCTGGAACACCTCCCGAGGAAGGCGTCCAGGAGGCATCCGGTATAGATGCCCAAGCCACCTCAACTGGCTCCTCTCAATGTGGAGGAGCAGCGGCTCTACTCCGAGCCCCTCCCAGATGGCAGAGCTCCTCACCCTATCTCTAAGGGAATGCCCGGCCACCCTACAGAGGAAGCTCATTTCAGCCGCCTGTATTCTTTCGGTCATGACCCAAAGTTGATGGCCATAGGTGAGGGTTGGAACGTAGACCGACCGGTAGCAAAACAAAATATATCAACAGCAAGTGTTTTCAGGTTGTCCCATGAGGACATTTTGGAGTTTTTGGTGGGTTCTTTTAGCATTTTGTGTTCTGCTCTTGGGTTAAACGTGTTTAGATGCCCAGACCTGTTGGAGGCAGTTTTGAATATCCTCCACTTACAAATAATTTTCCATACAATGAAAATTCTTTTAGACCTGTTAAAATGTATTACTAGGATGCTCTTTCTGAAGGCCTAAGACATCACTTTCAATTTACCATGATGACCCAAGTTTAATATGAATAAATAAATAAAAATTAAAAAGTATTTTCTTCGGTTTTAATTGTTTGATTATTTTACTTAAACCTTTCAGTCATTTTAAAATTGATATTAAATCTCCAGCTATGCTAGAAAACACACAACTCTTTATAGGATGTTCTACAGCTTTACTGTTTTTGGCTGAAGTCATTCTTTTACATACAGATCAGTGTGTCAGTGTCACTTTAGGTTTTAGCATGAACACATTGAAAAGAGAGAAAACTGTCAAAAATGGGTAGCGCTGAATATTTGGCTTCATTTTTCCTCTCCGCTCTGCTGTACCCCTCCTACAGAACCCTGTCAGCACACAGTGGACCCAAACACATCAGGCAGACAGCCGAGGCTTTCTGATGAGACCAGAAAGGTCATGCTACATTTCAGATGCCGTGTTTAGAGGGATTGGCTGAGTGTCTGAGCTGCGCAATTAAATAAAGTCTGTCGCAGTTTTAAGCAACGCGTAGCCCCCACACAGACATCTGTCACAATCAACAAAATGATAGGGGGCTTCTAACACAGTAAAAAGCTTAGGGGGTTGATTGTGTACTGATGATGCATGGAGTTTAAAATCAAAAGAAGCTACAATTTGTGAGCTAAAGGCAGTTGTTCTTGTACTCCAATCTCAGATTTGGCAGATGATGCAGAAGGACCCAGGCTTTAATAATCACAGCTCACTGTCAACACAGAAATAACAACTAGAACATTAATAATAGTGAAAAAAATCCATTATTCTTTTGCAATGTCTATTGCAAACTGCTATTTGGGAACATTAAGGTTTCTCTTGCAGCTACAGTGGAGAAAGAAAGGTGGACCAAAGGTTTATGTAATTTTTTAACAGCCATAAGGTGTGTAGCTTGCTCTGCATTTAACTAAATTACTCACCAGAAATATCGTCAAGATGAATGTAAACATCACTTTTACTGGAGAAAAATCAGCTGAACTCCATAGATCTGCCTACAGCATTTAACCAGTTCACAACGCTGCAAAACATTTGATGCAACAACACACTGGTACTGTCATGACGAGTCCCTCGGCCTAGAGGGGATTGCGCAACAGCTGCACCTTTATGGTGCATTCAAGTATGTTTTCTACACAAAAATCCAAAGTGATTTAAATCTTTTTTTACAATCAAATATCTGTACAGTCTTTAAAAAAATCCTAAACTACAGCATTGGCCATTTTCAAGTAGGTTTATTGTTGTATCATCAATCCATCCATCAATCCCATAACAACCCTTTATTATTTATAAAAAAAAAAAACTTGAGTCAGTTTTACAGTGGCCACTTTTTACTTCTTTCTCTACATAGAGGCAAACTAAAAACGTACTAAACCATGACTTAAAAATCAAAGTAAAGTATTGAACCATGATTCTTGTGTACTGTTACACCCTAATCAATGTACAGTATATGTGACAGGGATATGTTTTGCACCATCTTTGACAATGGATGGGGCATCTATTATTATTTTTAATGCTTTTCCTTTTTAATTGTATTCAGGCCTCTAGCTCACAGTAGTTGAATTAAAGAAATATATGGTAAAAAAACAATAGAAAAAAGGCACGCAAAAGACAGCTGAGATTTTATATGAAAGTTGCTGTAATGACTAAGATTCATTTGGAAACCCAAACTTGGGCATCAGTGCATGAAACAATGTCAAACAAAGAGAAGTAGTGACAGGCAAGCCTCCAGTTCAAATTTCATTTCATAAAAAGACAATCTGTATGAAGACTATTGAGTTAGAATAAGATAGGCAGGAGAAATGTTCTCCGAGAGGAGTAGCCCTGAGTTCTAACAAAACAGCACCCAATGGATGACCACTCTGATGTAAACAGGCATGCATCAGCACAGTCTTCCAAACAACTGTCACCAAAATATCCAACTTTATATCACACTATGTTTTACGTATGAGGATTTAACTACAATACTGTAATTTTGTCAAAATGTTATTCCAAAGACACCATCTGTCATACCACCTAAACTCCATTGCTTGGTTGTAAAAAGCCTCTTAAAGCTAAGGCTACACATGTGAAAGATGGAAGGTCAGATAAAATTACTGATATACAATTAGACTCCAGTCAAATGCTCGCTAAAACATTTGACTCAGACACAGAGAAAACAAAGCTGTCACAGTTGAACTTGATAATTCTGTTCCAAAAGTTTGAGTATTTCACAAACATCAGCAGACATTTTGTGCTGACAGAGGACAAGTAAGAAGTAAAAACTGCTGTACAACAAAATATTTTCTTAAAATATAAACTTTATGTTTACAAACAATGATTACCTCAGGGTTCTGGCCATTGACTCACTGCTTCCGCCATCTGTAGTAGCAGTGATATAAACTGTTTGTTTCTTCTTCAGGTTTGAGCTATAGTTTCCCTGAAGTCAAAGATTATAGTTGTTTCATCCAACACAGAGACTATGTTTGGGGGATAAGGAGCAAACCATTTCATTTACAAAGATCATCAAAAGTCCTCACTACACTGCCAAAGGATGTACTCACTACAATCTTTTTTCTCTCTACTCGACAGTGGCAAGTAGATTTACCAAATTTACCAGGGATGCCAGTGTTTTTTCACGGGGGCACAACGGGGCAATATTTAATTGTTTAATGTATTAAGTGAGCCACGTGCGGCTCTGGCAGATAAAAACTGTGATCCTATCTCAATATGGCTAAAGCTAAAGGTGCAACATTGTTAAAGTAAAACTGTAAAGGTAAAAAATTTAATTGGTCCAAGGGACCAATCAGTTAAGGTTTCTGTGCCAGCTCATATCAGCATAAGAAACTGATTTGTGTTTTTTGTCAAGAAAATATTCTGTTGTTTGATTACAGTAAAAGAATTGCAGACTGTGCAGTTCCAGACAACACATCATCATCCATAGTATCTTATGGTACAGTATTACCTATTTGTTTTAGTGGATGTTTTCCAGAAGGCTGTTTTTGTTTCAACATGTTGGCTTTGTCTACTTTGAAAATACATGGAAAGGCCAATTGTGATGTTTCTCTCATATTTTCAAGATTTATAGTTTTCTGGCTGTAAAACAGAATGATGCATTTTAAAGTAATTTTCTATAAGATTCTCATTGTCTAAAAAAACATGATTAAGTAACTCCAACACATTAAATGTACCATCAGGAGGTTGCGCAGGATTATTTGTCCTAATTAGGGGTCATTATCTGCCTAATTTTGTAAGAGTTAACTGGCCCAAACAGGGATCAGAACCAAACAGGGTGCATATCAAAGTTGAAGCAGGGGGACATTGAAGTGAAGCCACACATCTCTTATGGAGTGATAGATAGTCCTTACACATTTCAAACCAATGACATCTGTCACTGCTCTTCAAAAGCATGTTGGCAGTATGCCAAGGTCTAAAGAGCTCTTTAAGGCCTTCGGAAAGACAAAAAAAAAATGCTTTGGGTCTCCTAAAACATGGACATTTAAATTGAT